TTTTCAATCATCATTTATTAGAATTTAATCATAATTAAAACTATTTTCATTCTCCATTTCGTCTTATATATGTAATAAAATTGTAAAAAACATCTTATAGAATTCAATGAATATGTCTGTGAAGTTCTTCATGTTTTGTTTTTTGTCTAGACTTTTGTATTAGTCTATATTAATTACAAATAATATTATTTGTTTTTGCTTTTATTAGAATTTATTCATTGGCGAGTATTTCATCACGACAACTTACTTTTGATTGTTTATTTAATTGAGAAATATTTAAATTCTATTATATTATATTTCGATGTTCTCCTCTTGAAATAATCAAGTTATTACTAAACAATATTAACATCTAAACAGATAAAATTAAATCCGATTTACTTCATTTGTTTTATCGATAAGAGAAGAAAGTATTCATCAATATATCACCTATAACAGACATAGCGAGAAATATTTTTTTTATTTATTTGGTTCATTGAACACATCATTGTGAAGGAGGAGCAATTCTAATATTTTACTTTCTAATACTCTTTCTATGAGAAATAAGTCGATGACGACATTTATACATACATTATTATATTCATTGACTATTTTTTCATCAAATATTAGACTAATTATTTGTATCGGGACATATTCGACAACATATACACCATATATACATATATATATTTTTTTAGGTGTTCCTTTTAATACTTAGTTGATTCAAAGGTAAATTATCACAAAACTTAGCTCAATAAAAAAGGTTTGACGCAGAGAGTTAAAAAACTAGGTAAAAGGATAAATAAGTAATCTCTGATTAGACATTTAAAAAAAAGAGTAAATGATCATGAATCAACCGTCAAATAAATAACTGATTATGGTTTGTTTGAATGAGATTGGTGAAGAGGTCTGATAATTGTTAAATAATCTATTATTCGAAATATTCTCTTAGATCAAGAGTCAACAGAGTCTTTTTATTATAAATATATTATTTAAATCCATTATAATAAAAAATAAAACGTTTTATTTGTTTCTTGTGATGAAGAACGAAATTAAACTTAATTTTCTAGATCGAAATAACAAAGAAAATATTTTATTTATAATCATTAATCCAGATCTGTAGAAATGACTTTTTTTTTTAAAACGAATATTCAATTCTAAAGATATTAGTTTTTATTAGGAATAGTTTTACTTATGATTATAAAATAGAAATATTTTCCATTTGAGTTAAAGAAGATATTTACCAAAGTTGTTTATCAAAATGTCGAAAGGAGAAGCTCGGCGGTTTGAATACAAAAAATATTCTTGTCTATGTTTTATCGATAAAGTTAAAATGAATAAAAGTATTATACTTTACTTTAGTGGGAACTTCTTGATCAACATTTATATTTGATAAATCGTTGGAATAATTCTTCTTATCCATTCAATTACTTAATGTTAAATTAATTAAATGGATTGATTCATTCTATGATAGAATAAATAACATTTTTTTTCATTTCATTTAATTTCATTTATTAATTAAGAGAATATTAAAATCAACTAGGAATTTTCCTCAGTGTCATCATTTGAAATTCTTTTGTGTTTTTGACATTAGTTAATATATAAGCTAGTTGATTATCTGAATATATAAATAGATCATCAATAGGAAAACCTCTTGTTTCATATTAGTTTTTTTTAAAACAAAACAAATCTTTTTTTCTATATATAATATGAAATAAAAACCTAAGATAAAGGTTGACATCTATATAAATCCCATTCTATGATAAGTTCATCAAAATCAACACTTACTGTAAATGAATCATCACGACATACATCATTTACTTTAAACTATCATTTATTTATTTACAAAAAAACAAAAACAAACCAAATTAATTTATGAAAAAAAAACTTATTCCTATAGTAAAAGTAAACAAATCTTACTTTATAATTAAGACGTATATATTCAAATTGATTGTAAGAATTATCATGATCAATTTGAAGAATATAATCATATGATATTGATAATAATAAATGTTCTTTATTACTATTTTCGATCTTTACATTTTGAAATTAATTTTTATTTAAATAGAACAAAAAAACAAAAAATATTTATCTATCTATCTATAAACAGATTGACAATTTCAAATTTCAAACTGTTTAAATAAAGTGAAGTCATCAATAGGAAGTATAGATTTTCAATTATTCTCCACAATGATAAACAAACAAACAAACAAACAAATATTCCTGTTCGATTTCACCTTGATGATTTTATTCTTGATTACTAAACAAATTAAAAACATTACTAAGACTATTTACTTTTTATTTCTTTAAATTGAATACAGTTGTCTTTGCTTGTAAATTCAATATTTTAATAGATCAAATCGATCACGTATCATGTCTAAATAATATTCATTTATCAATGCATATTGAGACTTTTATTATACTTCGATGATAAACACCATCAACAACATTAACTTAATATATTTCCTCCTTTATTTCTATTATCTTGTATATTTATTTTATTTAATTAAATCTATGAAATTCTAAAAAAATTCGACTCATATCTATATAAAGTATCTTAAAAAAATCAAAACTCGATTAAAAAATATCTTATTCTATCTACTTAAACAATGTTATATTTGATTATTATCGATGATTTATCTATCAAAACTATTTATTTAATTAAAGATTTATATGAATAATATTTGTTCTATCCATGTAAATATTTCTGTCATATTGAACAGTAAAATTAAATGTGTTTTTCTTCTTTCTGTGCCAACGGATATTAGTTACTTGATAAAGAGTCTATTTGTTTTTTGAGAAACATATTGGTCAAAGAATAAATAAACAGCAATATATAATAAGATAGTTTACTTGACTTTTCTTAGAAATTCAAAGTAATTGTATAATGCGGCACTTAATCAAACGAAATATTAAACCATCATTCGTTCTACAAACATATTTACTAAAAAAACTTTTTAAAATTGTTCGAACATAAAATTTTCAGAAATTATATTATAGAAGATCGAGTCATCTTTTCGATTAGTTTCACAAATGACTTCAACGAAAAAAAAAACATCTTCGAGGAATACCATTACCGTAAAAATTCCGAAAAAAAAACTATTGGAGAGACGTCGGAAGGATATAGTTGCCTTTTAATGAGAATATATTTTTCATTAACATATATCTATATATTATTTAAATCAGTTGTAGATGTTCACATTCATTTTCCTATTGAATATTCATCTTGAACATGTATTTTTATAAAAATGGTCGAAATCATGGGTGTGGGTGTCCTAATCTTTATGCACATACCCACACCCACCCACACCCCTCACCCACGCTAGACTTGACCACTTCCTTTGATCGATGTGAATAAAGAATCGTCAAATAAGGTCTTCTAGGAAAAAAAACCAATCAAGTCAAGCACAACTTGGGTAAATTTTGCCCAGTTTTGCTTAAAAAAAAAGAATAAAATTACTCGATATGTTCGTTCTTTTGTTTTCAAATATTGATGCATAATTTCGTGTAGAAAATAGACTCAAAGAATATTTGTTTTTGATATGTCTGTTCCCTTTAAAAATAGGCATTTTTTTATCACAAATACAATCCAGATGATCAATAGTTTTGTTCACGATCAAAAGTGTTGTCATTATGATTACATTACGAGTATGTTTTTTTCTTTTTGAAGCTTTTACTCTTTAAGTTCTTAATTTGACAAATCGATTCCATAATATGATCTATTAATAGATATAAGTTGATGCGACAGGAAAAACAAAAGCGATTCGCACTTAAAATAAGTCTGAATTCGATTCTCGTATCAAGTACTTTGGTGAGCTTGGAAAAACCAACTAATGTAATCTCAAGATTAAAGGTTTTCTACTAAAATAAGTTAAAAAGTTATAAAAATGTTGACTCAAATTTCAATTTGACTTAATGTTTTTCTTTTTTAAATGTTAATGAGTCAATTGATAAACTAATATATTTATAAAAGTGAATCGTTTCATTTGAAAGGTGTTAGACA